TTTTTTGGTAACCATTACAAACACCCAATCCAGGTATGGAACTGTTTAGTACATTTGAAATGAGGCCAATTAAAAACAAAGATGGACACAAAATGAATCTTTGTCTCAATAGTTCACACTTTCCCCATTTTCTGGTTTCCACATGATGGCCCCCATCCCTAAAAAAAAAAAATTAAATTAAAACAAACTCCCTACAAATAAAAATTCTTAACAGCAAGAAAATAAAAGAAGAACATGCTTTTCAAGTAAGTACTTATTCCACAAATGCAATATCTTTCCATGGATTTTATTTGAAGCTGTGTGGGACACTGTCATCTCGGCAATTCCCTTTCCCTTTCTCCCCCCCTCCCCCAACCCTTCCAAGTTAAAAAAACAAAACAAAACAAAAAACAAAAACATGAAAACCAAAGGACTCACACACATACACAAACGCACGCGCACACACGCACACATCCAAGCACACACACACACACACACAGGCTTCTAAAACCTAGGCTTCAAGGAAAGTTCTACTTTTTGGAACGAAACCCTTTGTTCACAATCAGAACGTATTATAAATGTAGACTTAGATTTAGTCTAAGCTGCTCCCTCCTGAAAAAGCTAATACGGGGAAACAGAGCAGCTGGCAGCTAGAATTAAAAAAAAAAAAAAAGTAGTTCTCCAGGCTCCTTGTAGGATATAAGTATTTCTTGAACACTCTCACCAAAGGGATGGGATTCAAGCACATCCCCTTGTCCCGCAAAATAAATGAGAATCCACCCCCAGCAAAAAAAAAAAAAAAAAACAAAAAAACCCCAAAAGCAAACAAAAACAGAACACAGATTTTAAAATCACACACAAAAGCCAGCCCATCCTAACAGAAATTATTTGTGAGACAGATAATGTGTCAATTTGACAGCAACAAAAGGGTGAAGAGGACTTCCTCGTCTGGCCCGCAAGCTGCATAGCTGTGCCGAAAAGTTTGGTTCTTTAGTTAAATTAAAAAAAAAAAAAAAAGTTAACTTCTTTGTTATTTCCATGTTTAAAATAAAAACATTCCTATTCACAAAAAACTAAATCTCCCTTACCCCCAAATCAAAACAACAACAACACACACACAAAAAACAATTCGTATGAAAAACTGAATTGTGCTGTGTTTGTAACACTCAAATCGATAGAAAAGAAACATGTGGCAAACAAAACTCCACAGTCACCTTGAAATTAGCTCACATGAAATCTACCAAATTCTAAATTATAGTTGAACACTAATAAACAGCTTACCTGGAATAAAGGATGACAATTCACAAACATTTATCTAATAATTAAAGTCTGTTTCTTTTTTTTGTTTTGTTTTTTACTAAAATAATTAAAAAAATCACAGTATTTTAAGAAATAAAACCCACGTGGGGATTTTAAGCACAATTTGTGTTCCTTTCTTTAAAACTCTTTTTTTTTTTCTCCATTCACCATCTTGCCCAGCAGTTCTCTCTACATTTAACCACAATGACGACAGGTAGTACTGATAAATGCAGAGAATTCCCTTGGTTAAGTTTGAGGTACTAGGAAACAGGTGACTGTTTTATGCAAAGCAGTTTTTTTGTTTTGTTTTGTTTTCTGTTTTTGTTTTTTGTTTCTCTGTTTTTTGTTTTTTCCCAAAGCGGCTGCAAGTTAGGTCTTGAAAAAGCTTAAGGTATTAAAACTAGAAAAACGCACCGAAAGTTGTGCGCCAAAAAGTTGTTCCCCTAAGAGAAGTCTTCTACCGTCACGGAGCTTCTGTTTCCACACACTGTCCAAGCCCACCAGCGAGCACGCGCGTGCCAGGGAGGTGCTTCCAAATTCCGCGACAAACGAAACTTCCACGATGAAGATCCGGAAGGGAGGATGTAGTGATGGAAAAGGAGCCACATGTTCCAACCATTTAAATAACTTTAATTTACATACTCACTCACACAGGTACCAGTGCTTTGAAAATAGATTGTTCAGTCCTAAAAAGCAGCTTTGTTCTGTCTTCGCTTCTCCGTGCCCCCCCTTCTCAGCCCAAGCTGGCCCTCCCACTCTTTTTTTCATCACGGTTCAAGTAAGGGGTGATTAAGAATTTCACCAAATGCTTATTCCTTTTTGGCCTCTGCATTCTCCAGGAGAGACTCGTCAGCAGCTACTACGCAGATGGCGACTGTTTCGGTCTTTAGGGAAAAGTCTATCCCCATCGCTTCGTCGTCGTCTTTCTCCTCTATAGAGGGCATCTTAATACTGTCCTCCATGGTCTCCTTCAGGTGGATTTCTTCTCGGCTCACCTGCTTGGTGTCATTCAACGCCCTGGAAAAATAATTACGGTACAGACACATGAGTAGATACATTTTTTCTAATTAAACAAAACCCACACGTGTCCTTATTTCCCTGGTCCTAAAAAGGCCTTGGGGGTTTCCCCTGAACAGATGCCACAGACGTAGGACTAAATTGCGAGTGATTTATCCTTGCTACCTGTTACGCTTAGGTCATATATTTCTAGTATCTGATTAAAGATTTGAACCTATAAAAATAACCCACTACGATACTAGGTTTTGACTACACCATGCTGTTCCCAGAGTAACATAATTATTTTCTGTTCCCTCCACTACTGGGAACAGAGTAAGTCGTAAGTGGTAACAGCAAGAACTGTATTCTGCTCAGACTCATCAGAGGAACCCAGGAGCTTGGAGATCTGCTATATTTCTTACAAAAGGAGCTCCTTGGGTATCAAAGACTTCACAGGTCCAGAAACAAATCATAGAAAGAAACAAGAAACAAAAATCTAAAGATGGGACCCAGGTCTTGGGAAGCTAGTTATAGTCTCTGAAGTTTAGATGCTTCCCGTTTCTGGGCGTTTTTCTCCTGAAAGGACCAACTCCTAGGTTCTCCCAGGGTCTGCTGGGCTACAAGTGGCTTGTCTAGGGGACAATTTTACGTTCAAGGGTCTTAAGAGTGTTGTACGGGTATGCTCCCACCTACCTGGGAGGCAGGCAGAAGCGGGCTCTGTCCCCGAGGCAGAGCATTGAAGGCACCAAGAGGTGCGTGGGAAGGTTCAAGGCCACTCAGGGAATGAGTCATCACAGAGGCAGGAACAGAAGCCAGATCTTTGGACCCCGGTCCACGCTCTAGCAGAGAACGTCATGCTAATGAAAGCTGAAGGGACACGGGCTGGAGACAGCACTAAACGTCTACACGAGGATCTGTCATTTGTCAAGATGATTTCTCCTCATTTGACTTGTGTCTGGGTGACCATTTACAAGAACCAACGGAAAGGGAGAAACCCAGTTCATGACAACTGCCTCTCCTCCCATGCCCGGAAATGTGACAGAGGGGTCTCTGTGTCGTCAGGGGAAACTGCCACCTGGCACGTTGGGCAGAGGCCGTCTTGGGATGGCTCGACTTACATGCCGTGTCTCAGCACGTGCCTTTCCCACTCCGAGCCCTGGGAAAACGCCCGGCCGCAAAATTCACACGGAAAACGCTTCTCAGTGCTGACAGCAGCCCCACGGTCAGAAAACCGCATCAGATCTGCAAGGAGAAAGCGGAGATGTTACCCGCGACGCCACGGGAGTGGGCGGAAGACAGCAGTCAGTGCTCACCAGGAGCCGCCTCTCCTGCCTGCACTCGTAAAGCCCATCGCTGAAAGCCGTTTCCAGACGCCTTACCTTTTCCTACTGCCTTTTCACCAAAGGGTACTTCTTGAAACTCTCTCAAGAAGGATTCCTGGTTCCCGGGCCCCAGCTGTCCCCAGTTTCTCCTCACCTCCCAGTTGCTTCCATCACAAACCATCTGGGTCTGTCTTGCCTGAAGAACCACTTCGGTTCATCCCAGAGGCACCTGAGCATTTTTTTTTCCTATCAAATCTCCCCATTCTGTGATGCTCTGTATCAGGGCCTCGTCATCGAGCACCTCTTCATTTTCTATTTGACCCCCAAGTTTATCATTTTGCTTGCTAAAAAGAACACAAGCTACCGAAAGCACCAGACCAGGTAACACACATAGTAAGACCTCAGGGTTTCGACACGTTCCCCGGAAGGCTGAGGGCTCACGAATCGTGGTCATCTGCTGAGGATGTCATAACACCCGCCCAGGGCGGCTGCGAGCACCGCAGGAGGTCTGCAAGCAAAGAACCGCACAGGAACGTGGACCCCGACCACAAGGAGGCCGGTATGTGAAAGCACGTCTTCCGCTAAGAAGGGGTCCTGGCCAGCTGCCCGGCGTCTCCGCCTCCATCGGTGTATTTGAATGTGGGGCTAGGCAGACATTTCTGGACAGGTCTGTTGTCAACATCAAATATTGACTGTCCTTTTATTTCCTCCACAGCCCTGGGCACATGTGAGGGGTTGGAGAAATGCAGATTGGCTGGCTCATTGTTTACAGGCCAACTCAGAGACGAGAGCTTCTACGGCCTTTGTGTTACCCTGAGTCCCAAGCCCATATGTCTTTCATTATACCACAGAGGGCCATGTCTTCACGTGGCTCATAAACAGCAGGCCCTCGACGGGTCCGCAGCCAGGTTGCAGAGTGAGGGCCCTGCACGGGGGAATGCTGATCGTCTCTGCATATCTGATCACTCGCTGCCTGCACCTCCAAGATGTCACAGGAAGATGTCTCCTGGCTGAAATACGCCATCGAATTAAAACCCTCCGATGACGTTAACGGGCTAGGTGTCTCTGTGCTGCCTTAATCTTTCGCACAAAAAGCAATGTGAATGGGGCCAGTTTTAACAAAAGATGAAACATTTTCTCACAAATTAAGAAGATCACCACACAAGCCATTAAAAATAATTGCACAGACTATCTTCCTTGATTCTTTTCATTGGAAATGAGACAGCACCATCTGCTCGGCGCATTAATTCCTTAGCAGGGATTATCTTGGGCAAGAAATCAACAGAATGCCTTCCTGACTCCTCCCAACTGCATAATGAGAGGGGGTGGGGAGGATTCTGCTTGGGTTAATTTTGATTTCTTCATGCCTGGTTTCTTCTCTTTCAGAATCCCTCCAGGCTTCCTTCTGGGGCAGGTCCTGCCGTGTGGCCACAGTCCGTCCACACCCCGGTTCCCGTGCTGGGAAAGGACGGTGGGAACAGGGTGGCTCCAAGGACGTGAGCCCCCCGATCTGAGCGCCTGATGAGCGTCTACGTTGCCAACGAGGGGCTGGCTGCTGGCACACTCGCCCGCTTACCCTTAGGAAACATGAAACCAGCCATCTATTCTTCCCAGTGGCTCATGCTGCTTCATCCTCAAAGGAGGAAGCCAATCATTACCTGTCACACATCAAATAGCTCCCCATTAGCCCCGAGCGTTGTGCTAAAGCCACCTCCCGCTCTCTACTCCTGGAAGACAGACCGTCTGGCAAACACGCCCCGAGGCTATTGTGTGCCGTTTCTGCTCGTTGGCGAGAATACACCTAGATGGTGGAAAATTGATTCAAAGGCGATGAGACAAAGGGGCACCCCTTTCAAGGATCAGCGAGGGGGACGGCGAGGGGGACAGGAAGGTTTTGGGCTTGTAATTCTCATTAACATGACTCGAAGTTACTCATGTAAATCCTGCACCCTCAGAGAGGAATCCAGGCTGCCCCACCTCGAGACTTTTGTTCCCAGGTGGTTCAGGCCCCAGAATGTGGATGCTACACTTTCCCAGGAGAGGGGATCAGACACCATGAAGTTCTCTCCAGCCACACCGAGCTGGTCAGGCCAGAAGTGTGCCCACTGCCTCTCACACCTAAGGGCGGTCTCTTCCCTTCTAACCAGCTATGCTTTTATTTTGGAGGTGTCACCAAGGTGGGGGGGGGTACGTAAAGGAGTTCTTGCCTCCGCAATGCTTATAACCAGTAAAATCACGTGTACTCGGCTCTAGAGATTAAAAGCGACGGTTTCCAATGAGGACAATTTATTTCCTGGAGAGGAACGGCTAGGCACAAAGCACCATGAAGGAAAGGAGCCCGTGTACCCTCTGTCAAAAGCATCCTCTTCCAGAGAACTCTGGTAACAGCGCACAGACGTTAAAGAATTCATCACTAAGAACGTATTTGTGAAATGCTAAGGAAAAGAAAGTTTAAAAACCATGCTTCTCGGATCACAGCTGTGTTCCTTGTAAGAAATGGATCACTCAGCCCCTACTAATAAAAGTTGTAACTTTACAAGGGGCTGTCAATCAATATGGTGCAGACATTTTATTTATCCATCTATTTTTCAGGGTGAACACGGGCACGGGAGTTTGGAAGAGCAGACACACTTTGGTTGCCAGTCCCTGCTGTTGTCTTGGCCGGGGGTTCAGGAGCCAAACCAGACCCCTACTTTGCAAGCCTGGGGTCTCCTGGTAGAGCGGAGATAAAATATGGTGGGAGTGGGGAAGGGATAGGGGTGGAAGTCTGCACAAGTCAGGAGAAAGAACAGGGAGTAAGAATCCAGGAGGGAGATGGCTACTAAGTCAGCTTTCTTAGACTTGCAGACTGACCCAGCCGGAAAAACCAAGAAATTCTGCAAAAATGCACCTTAGAGTGAGGCCCGAAGGGCCACTGAACTGACAGAATTCAGGGCCAGGTTCCCTCCCACGAAGACCATCCCACTGCCCAGAAGGTATGGGAAGTGGGGTAAAAGATGCATGGGAGCCAGAACACTTCAACACGACCTCCAGTCTTTTCTTTTTAACTTTGAACAAGCTCTTTACATATTCTGGGCCTTTATCTCCCAATGGCAATAATACCACCTACATGACAGGGTTTTATCGTTTATTAGGTGGTTATGATGTTCCAGGAGCCGGACTAACGTTGGTGCACGATCTCATTTACGATGTACACAACCCTAGGAGGTACGTCACCATCATCATCATTTTATGGCCAATGAATGTACAAGGAGAGAATATAAGTGACCCAAAGCCACAAAACTAATAAGTAGCGGAACTGAGAGTCAAATCCAGACAGGCCAACTGCAGATCCCTGTTATGTTACATCAGATTAAAGAAAAAAACGTTATAAAAACCACCAACACTAGGCCTGGCACAGAGTGGTGCTCAAAAATGACCACTAATGCTCTTCTTCTCATCACTGGGATGGTATCTGTCGTATTTCTTTCTCATGTCTATGTTACCCACGTGCTTTTGATAAACCTGCAATCACCAAAGTAAAACAGCCCAACGTACATTCTTAGACGTACAGTCTTGGGTTTTCCGTAATAGTCTATGTTGAACAATACACAAAACCAGCTCTAGATCCTGTAAATGTATGTCGACATCTAAACTCACTCTGAAAAACCTCATTTTGAAAATGATTATCGACTCACCGAAAGTTGGAATAATAGAAAAATCCCACGAAACCATCCCCAGTAAACACAGTCAAATAAAAGCCACTGGTGTCTCTCTCTTCTTCAAAGCAAAGGCAGCAGCAAGGGGTCAAGAGGAGGGCCACGAAGGAGGACACGAAGAGAGGACCTGGGCTCCAGGCCTCCGCAGCCTCCCCCAGGAGCAGCAATTTTAAATAAGCGTCCAATTGGAAGTTCATTTACATTCCTCGTTCACTTTTACAAGGTCATCCATCTCGCCCTCTGTCTGTCCTTATTCTGAGGATTCTCCAGATACCAGTTTTCCCGAATGAAGACATACCATCGCTGTCTATTTTTAATAAACGTCTATCTATAAAGAGAAAATGCCTGTTTTCCTTGGAGTTTCTATAGCTGGTAACAGTTTACAAAGACAAGGCCCCCTGACATGTTTCTTAAGTCAGTCTGTTCTGCTACTTAACTAAGAAAGATCATTCCTTCTGTTCCTCCTTCCCCAACCTTCTGCCTCCCGTCTGTCTCCCCATGGACGGCTGGATGCCATCTGGGGCTCAGAGGCCAGGGAATGAGACTAACCTCTGTCATCCACTTTGCTGTTCATTTCTTCCTCCTTGTCGTCCTCGTCACTGCTGGAGCTCTCCATCTTTTCCTTCATCTGTTCCAGCTGATCCAAGTTAACCCGTCCAACCAGCTCAAAGTTACGGCTTACCTGAAAAAGACCCAAACAGACCATGGAAGAATGAGCCACAACTGAATGAATGGGGTTCTTCCACGGGGACGGAGCTTCCCAACACCATGTTCCCGTGGGTGTGCCTTTAGAACCAGGACCAAACACCTCCAGCGACTACGAGGGCCTTTGCTTCACATTGGCTCTCTCGTGGACCCGTCTTTTGCTCCCACTTTCCACCATTTTTACTGGAACTTTGAACCTTCCTTACCAAATTTAATAAGAAACGTGAGCTACAGTGAGCTGAAAAGCGTAAGTATTGTGAAGCCTGGGGCGTAGAGCAGGTGTCCAATGAACATTTTTTTGAGCTGAATTCAAGGGCGCACCTTTGGTAAACTACCCAAATTTCACATACTTCTGGAGGGGAAGAGCCTCTGTAAATACCCTGAAAACCAGCAGTGAGAGTCACCACCTTCTCCACCATGAGCCTGTCCACCCGGAGGGCTGAGGGCTGGCCCAGCGTTCACCAAATGACAACGATCCGGTTCCTAACTCCGGGTGAAGTGTAAGACAACACTGTTACTGTCTAGTGTCACTACAGGTTTTGAAGCTGACCACAGCCAATTCATCACAGCTGGGATTATCTGAGAAAAATCCAGATGACTGATCCCTAAAAACCCTTTTCAAGTGTGAACTGTGGCTGATTTTAGTTTATCTAAAACGTGGTCCGAATAGGGTGGGAATCCAAATTCTCTTCAAAATATCATTTACGAGAAAT